TTTGACCACACTGAACAAACCTTCTGCAGTCTTCAAATACTGGAGTCCAACTAAAATCACAGCTTTTGGCTCAGAGAAATGGACACAAATCAACTGAGCCACAAGATCTCTTTAGGCCTGTTTGACTTCTGCAATTGCAAAAGCTGCAATTACCATTTTAATTGTAAGTTTAAAATTGAGAAAGCTATGAAGTCTCAGCTGAGGTATGTAAACGAAACTGCCTTAATTACTATTTGATTATCACTACTTTTTTTGGTAGTCAAATACATTCTAATTAGTGGTACCCTGTAATCCAGGGATGCCATCACTTTCAAGAATCAGTTATTGATGCTAAATTTATTATTTGCAGTAATCAAGAGATTTAAGGCAATGCTTCCAAACTTGGAATTGCTGTGCCTTCTGTTCACTGCTGAGCAATAATGAAAGTACAAGTGAGTCAGCCCCCTTGTATTCTATATCTTTGACCAAACTTGAGATGTTTCCCCTTCTCTCAGACACCAGACTATGAAATAAATCAATGCTGCCAGACCTCCTGTTACCCGACTACAAGTCTACAGACTACAGACCTTTTACAATACGTAACCAGTAAAGCTAAAGCCCACTGTGTTCCCAATCAAATTTGAGTGATTTAACCATTTGGAAAAAGAGTTAGTGTTGACTTTTTTTAAAATGAAGTTATCTTCTTGGAAATTTAAAAAGATAGATACCTAAATGAAAGATGACCAATACAATAGTTGCTGTAAAAATTGACCATTAAGTAAAAAGGAAACACTGCGCATGTTGAAAATCTGAGATAAAGGCAAAATGTTGGGAAAAGCTTAGGACTGACCACATAGAGAGAGAGATTTATTCTTTTAGCAGAATGTCTGTTTGCAGGTTTGCATACTTACATTTGTGTTTTTTTAAAATGACTGATGGCCCACCCCAATTAAATGTCCATCTGACATGGATATATTTGTTTGTCTCTAATACTCTTGTGCCACTTTAAACTGAGGAATAGATAGTGAATGCGTGTTGTCGCCCACTTTCTGGCAGGGTCCTACTTTAAATTGCTTTAATGGTCGCCCCGATAGCTGCTATAAAGCCCTGAACAAGTCTGGTCTGATTTTTGTACATGTGCATGCGGTGCTCCACCAAGCAAACGTAGCGTTATTTCATGTCGTGTTTCCTTCTGGTTCTCCCATTTATTGCTTGGGTAGTGAGAAACTTCGCACTTTCTTTCTATAAGAGAATCCTTTATTTTTTGATTATGGAAAGAGTTACAGCACCATAAGATATATAGGAGCAAAATTAGGTTATTTGGCCCATTAAGGCTGCTTCACTATTCGATCATGGGTGATAAGTTTGGTAACCCCATTCTGCTCCTGTAACCCTTGATCCCCTTACTAACCTATCTACCTGTCTTACGTACAATCAGTGACTTGGCCTCCTATGTCCTTCCGCGCCAATGAGTTCCACAAGATCAAGAGAAAACTTCTTCAGACCAGAAGACAATAAGCTCAATTCAGTTTTGTTAGGAGAGCTGTGATGATTTACAATGAAATGCTAGCAAAACAGTTGAAGCACTGTGATTTGAGTTGAGGGATGACTGTATGATATAGGGCACTATAGCATGTTCTTCATTTTGTATCATCATGTTAAGTAAACATACTGATTAGACACAATATATGTAAAAATATCTTGCATATCTTGGTGACTTGATTCCAGTACTTATTTTCTTGCATGTTTTACGTGTCGCCGTTCATTTGTCTATGTAAGATAGTAGGTAAATGCTAGAAATAAGTTGTACAGGAAAGCTCTGCTCATAATGTACTAGTAGTTTTGTGTAATTTACGAAACTACTTTTCTTACAGGAGCTGCTGCAAACAGTATAATTTCCAGTGGCCTGCCACGATCGTCTAGACGAAGTCAGATCAGAACCACACAAACAGCCAACTCAGCTGAAGTAGACCCCAGAATTATGGAAATTCTTTGTGAGGAAAATGAGTGCAGTGTGGAAGAGGCAAGTTCAAAATTATAAAAATTGGATTTAGAATAAAAAAATCAAAAGATGTGCAAAATGGAATGGTAGAGTTCTAAATTTATTCCATAACCGAAGAATACTTCGTAACCCACATGTTATATGCCAATAAACCAATTGGCAAAAACAGCAACATCAGTCTACTCTCGATTGTTAGTGAATTCATCGAAGGTGTCATCAACAGTGCTATCAAGCAGCACCTACTCAGCAATAACCTGCTCACTGATGCCCAGTTTGGGTTTTACCAGGGCCACTCAGCTCCTGATTTCATTACAGCCTTGGTTGAAACATGGACAAAAGGGCTGAATTCCAGAGGTGAGGTGAGACTGACAGCACTGGACGTGAAGGCAGCACTTAACCGAGTATGACAACAAGGAGTCAGACTTGGACAGCACGGAGACAGACTCTTGGGTCCAACTTGTCCTTGCTGACCAAATATCCTAAACTGATCTGGTCTCATTTGGCCCATATTCCTCGAAACCCTTCCTATTCATGTACCCATCCAGATGCCTTTTCAATGTTGTGATTATACCCACTACCACTACTTCCTCAGGCAGCTCATTCTGTACACATACCACCTTCTGCGTGAAAAAGCTGACTGTCAAGTCCCTTTTAAATCTTTCCCCTGTCACCTTAAACCTGTGCCGTCTAGTTTTCAACTCCCCTACCCTGGGGGGGAAAAAATGGCTATTCACCCTATCTATGCCCCTCATGATTTTATAAACTTCTGTAAGGTCACTCCTCAGCCGCCGGACGCTCCAGGAAAATAAGCTCCAGCCTTTTCAGCCTCTCCCTATAGTTCAAACTCTGTAACCCTTTTCTGCACCCTTTCAAGTTTAGCAATATCTTTCCTATAGCAGAGAGAACAGAATTGAATGCAGTATTCTAAGAGTGGCCTCACCAATGTCCTGTACAGCTGCAACATGACATCCCCACTCCTATGCTCCATTCACTGACCAATAAATGCAAGCGTGCCAAACCTTCAACTCCATTTTTAAGGAACTGTACTACTGTACCCCTAGGCCCCTTTGTTTGGAGTCAGTGGATGGAAGGCTGGTTTGCATGATGAACTGGCTGTATTCATGACTCTCTATAGTTTCTTGCAGTCTTGGGAAGAGCAGTTGCCAAACCATGCTGTGATACAACCAGATAGGATGCTTTCTATGGTGCGTCTACAAAAATTGGTAAGAGTCCTTGTGGACATGCTGAATTTCCTTAGCCTTCTGAGGAAGTAGAGACGTTGTTGTGCCTTCTTGACCATTGCCTTGATGTGGATGGACCAGGACAGATTGTTGGTGATCACTCGCAAGAACTTGATACTGTACCATCTCCACCACAGCACCATTGCAGACACCATTGCCTCCATTCCGCTTCCTGAAGTTGATGACCAGCTCCTTTGTTTTGCTGACGTTAATAGAGATATAGTTATCTTTACACCATGCCGCTAAGCACTCGATCTCTTTCCTCTATTCTGTCTCGTTGTTGTTTGAGATCTGGCCTACAATGGTGATGTTGTCAGTAAAGTTGTAAATGGAGTTGGGGTGGAATTTGGCCACACAGTCACGAGTGTATAAAAAGTACCTAGTATTTATCATACCTGTCTGTGAGACACAAGTGTCAACACAGACGTTCTTCCTATTGTTTACAGATCTGAATGTCTCTCAACTTCTAAATAGTCAAACAACCTGGGCCTTTTCACTCTCCCCATAGCAAGCAAGCCATATAGGCTTATTGATCAAGAATTTGATTAGATCTTCTTAAACAGTTCCCAATTATAAATTCATGAATATTAATTTGTAAATTTTATTTTTTCAATGATGAAATAAAAGTGTTAAAATACATGAATTTGTTAAAGTATTGAAAAACTGAAGTTTTAAAAACATAATTTAAATTCAGTATAAGTCACATGCTTATGGCAATGGATAATTTTAAAATTTATATCTGGTCCTTTTTAAAAAGTATTTTTGCTAGGCATTCCTGTCTTGACTAGTGTGCAGATGTAAATTTTTTTTTGAACCTCTACTCCAATCTCAAGTTTTACTCTATATTTTTAAAAATTAATTTAGCATGATTTTATATATTGAGAATAAATAATGCCAATCCATATTAAATACAGGTCATGTTTGTTCTTTTCATACAAAATTCTCTCACATTTGAATGCTGGCAGCCCCATCAAGACTTGCAAACAATTGTCTCTTACTAATGTTGATGCTTCTAAAGCTTCTGTGAAAAAGTTTGAGTAGAATCACATTTTTCCGCCCCTTTTTCCTGTTCCTTTGTTCTGATAACAATACATTTTTTTTGTGAGGGACACATTGAAGACAAACAATTTAGAAGTGGGATTATAGCGAATACCAACTTGAGCTGACCATAATTTTTCCTCATTTGCCTCTATTCTCATTCAAATTGGTTTAGTTAAATAAAATCTATCCATTTGATGATCTGATCTCTAATTCCTTGCCTTCTTTATTGATTTTCACTTCTTAAATTTAATGTAAAATTAATTGATTCAAGTGGCCTTTTATCTAAAACTTTGAGTGCCCATCCACTGCCAGGCCCTGATTTGTGGGTTGGCGCACCCTCTGGTGGCCAAGTTAAGTCATGGAGAAAGTCTGGCCAGAAAGTTGTGTCTTGATGGTGCCTCATTGTATTATGTCAGCCACTTTTCTAGTGAGGTTTCTCTGATGCAGGTGCAGTTGTAACATTTAAAAGAAATTTGGATACATTTTTGAATAGGAGAGGTTTGGAGGGATATGGGCCAAGGGCAGACAGGTGGTTCTGGATTAGTTTGGGAATGTGGTTGGCGTGGATTGGTTGGGCCAAAGGGTCTGTTTCCATGCTGTATGACTGTAACCCAGTATTCTTTGGAAGCTCAATATAGAATTACCTTTTTTTAGAAGAAAGGTTTGTCCTTGCATGTTAAAATGGACTGACTAGTCTTTGAGTCATAGGGTAGAATGCACCATATAATTTGTTACTTCACTTCCTTAACCAACTTTGTGTTATCAGTTCAAAAAATAAGGGGAACTGCAGATGCTTGTATTCGGAAGCTATGACAGAAAACTATTTTTGCTTGCTCAATTAATCCTTTAGTACAGAACGCCCACAAAGCACTTCCATTTTTTGATGGTATATCATGCAGTATCAGGATTTATTTTGGATGTCATTACCTGGAGAGGGCAGTAGAAACCAAATAACTTAACTGAGGTCACAGTCCTGGTGTACTTCTCGGATCATGAAAGTAGAGTCATTTATTTTCCTGTAAGAAATATGATTTAACATGTTAAAACTAACTAAGTTAATGTTTATGACCACATTTTTGCATGTGATGACTGTGAACCTTGTGTTTCATTTGTTTAGGTAAAGAACATCTATTTGAAGAGCTTTCTTCCTTTCTTGGATAACCTTAAAATACCCTTTTCTAGTGGGTTTCCTGAGGTAAACAAGATGATGTGTAATTATACTTGTTAACGAGAACTATACATTTTGTCATGCAAACTAATATGTTTACAAACGTTATGACGAGAAAAAAAATGTTTCGTAAGAACATCTTTATGTCAGCAATCATGTTCACGAACCAAACTTTGATTTAAGATTTTTGGACATGCTTTGCGTCAGGACTTAACATCTTAACTCTGCTGGTAAAACGCCAAGTGGTTGCAAGCTTTGGCCAATAGGTGGCTTTGGGAACAAAAACAAAGTTGCTGGAAAAGCTCAGCAGGTCCGGCAGCATCCGTGAAGGAGAAAACAGAGTTAACGTTTCTGGTCCAGTGACCCATCCCCAGAACTGGCTTCGGGGAGTGTTTCAGCAATTTTGCTCAATGACAAGACCTTTTTTGTATTTAAAAAAAACAACTTGCATTCATCAGTTGAAAGAAAGCAGGCAGTTTGATTGTTTGATCCAATCTCCTACTGGTGAGAGAGAGAAATGCACTTTATTATCTAGCCATTGTCTCGCAATTGGCAAGTAGCTTGTGCTATTTAGTAAAATGAACTTAAACATCTTTCTCTAACTTTCAAGAGCATCGCCATAGACATCTTTTGTTGAGGAATGGGTGTTGAAGGGCTGAGTAGTCACATTGATCATTGTCTTAACTAGACCAAAATATCAACACCATTGTAGCTACGAGAGCAGGTTAGAGACTGCTGAAGTCATGAATATGTTTGAATATCCCTTATTCACCTGAATGGGTGTAATTACAAGAATACTTAGAGTAGTTTTCTTGATTCATTACCTCTACCATCTGTTTCAATACCCCTCTGTTTCATCATTGATTGTTTGTGTTAAGTCATGCAACATCTTTAAGTGTTTCTTGAATAACATCTTTCCTCACTGCAACTTTTATCACTAGGAAGGTTGAGCAGTAACATTGTGACAATACTGTTGCCTCAACATTAATGTTACAAGTCATACACCATGGAGCTATATAATTGTTTCTTCTTCACTTGGTTAAGATGGTTAAATTTCTCTCCATAATTTTGCAAAGGAGTGGTTCAAGCAGAACTCCAACCACTATCTCTTCAAGGCAACTAGAGATAGGCAATAATAAATCTTGACAAGATCACCATATCCAGGAAAAAATATAAAGCGCTATGTGGTCAGATCAGTCTCTTAATTGTACTGAGCTTGGAAAGCACTTGAAGCATTTCTAAACATGAGCTGCACTAATGCTAGGTATCATATTCTTTGTGGATTTTTTTCTACTGATGTGACATCTGTACAGATGGAGTCACTTTCAAGACAATATGAAGAGCTTTACCATAAGAACAAAGATTTTGATGGAAGATTGTTCCTTGAGCAAGATAAAACTCTGCAAATAGATCCAAATCAAAGGTAATACGCTCATCTGGAAAAAAGACCTATGCTGTATTTTGCTGTTGACGAAGAAACTTGCTCCTGTCTTACATTTCTACTGCCTTGCTCAGCAATGATTGATAAAGCGTCAGGATAGCTCATTGAGGGTTATTTTGTTTTTAGTTAGCAAGCTTCTTTTCAAGAAAGTGCTTAGTTCATTGAAGGCAAATATTAAATAGACACTATTGAAGGATCAGTGACAGTGTACCCATGCCCTACTATTTAATTGCACTAGTAGTCCAATCATTCAGTGTGCTGCCAGCATGATCCCAACTCATTAGTCTAAGCCAAACTTTTTCTTTAAGCCTTTTCCATTGCTGAAAAAATTGCAGACTTAACCCACTTTTTCTATGGTGAATTAGATACTTCCGGAAAGGATAAGGAGACTTGTGTTTCAGTCATCAAACCAAGATAAAGTTTTGATCAAATTTGGTGCACAGTTGGGAATTTCAGAAAGGAAATTTTAAAAAAAAAAGTACTGGAGCAGAATTTTAGTAAATTTGAACAATTTAAAAAAAAGTATTACCAAATTTAGAAATAAATAATGTCTAATTCCTGATAAATTGAGATATTCAGATAAATCACATTAAACGTCTTATTATTGAAATTTGTTTGGGCTTAGTTTCAGCGATATATCTTCCTTAAAATGCAGTCTATATGTCTGGCAGAAATATAGACCATTATTATTGGTTCCATAATGTAAGAATCATCTAAAATGGTTATTTTGAGTAATTTGCATTCAATTAATATTGGAGTGGCATTGGATAATGCTATTTTATCTCTTTACAGTTTAAAAAACACTTAAATATAAAAGTTATTTAAAAAGATTCTTAGGGGACTTAACAGCGCAGATGTGGAAAGGTTGTTTCCCACAATGGGAGAGTTTAGAATCAGTGACGTAACCTTAGAATAGGACGTCACCAATAAAGGACGGATGAGAAGGATTTTCCTCTGAGGGTTATGAATCTGTGGAACTCTTTACCACAGAGGACCACAAAGGCTGTGTTGTTAAGTATATTCAAGGCTGAGATTTTTAATTAGTAAGAAGATCAAAAGGTTCAATAGGGGAAAAGGCAGGGAAGTGGAGTTGTGGATTGCCAGATCAGTCATGATCTCATTGAATGGTGGAGAAAAATGGCCTCAATGTGCTGTTTCTGTCCTATATCTTGACACACTTTGTGATTCTTTGATAATGAATATATTTTCTTTAAAGATGTGAACTTGAGAGAACACCAAAGAAATGTCAGACTGAAGATAGTCACACAGTTATTCCTCCCCAGACTCCTGTCAGGTACAGACTTTATGCTCATTTTTATGTCAACATGCTGACTAAAATGTGCCAGCTATTTTTCACAATAAACACCTTAAGTTATGAATGTGCATTGAATTAGGGCTCAGTCAGAAATGAAAATGTAAGCTTTTGTAGTTTGTATTACTTGCCACTTAAATATCTCTCTTTGTGTTGGCTTTCATTCTCATCTCTTCCTGCCCCTCCGTTCTGACAAAAGCTCTGTTTGAGGATAAGGTTTAGGACTGACATGTCAAATGTATCAGGCTGGTCCTAGTTCCTCTTTACATCTGGAATGTCTGTCATGAAAATGCCTCTACATTCCTTTCTATGATTTTCTTATGCAAATAAGTGATCAAATTTCTCCTTCGGGGTGCTTGTCTTTTCACTTAATATTCATAGAGTCATAGAGGTATACAGCATGGAAACAGACCATTTGGTCCAACCCATCCATGCTGACCAGATATCCTATATAAATCTAGTCCCATTTCCCAGCATTTGGCCCATATCCCTCTAAACCCTTCCTATTCATATACTCATGTCCAGGTGCCTTTTAAATGTTGTAATTGTACCCGCATCTGCCACTTGAAGGGGACTCCCTTCCTTTGGTAAGGTTTAATCTCAGTACACAACAGATTGAACTCTTTGATATGTATGAGTTCTATTTCTCATGTACAAACCTTGTTTCCCTGATAGCACAAGAGGCTGTAAACCCCAGTTACTAGTGATCAAATCATACCTAATTTGGTATGATTGAATTGTTTGATCTCATCCCAAGCATTTTTTTAAGATGGGTTTGCAGCTTAATTTGTAATAAACAATTGCTATCGATCAGAATTGAGAAACCAGTTCCATTATGTGAATGAATTGAGAATGTTGTGTAGACAACAATCATTTTGTGGGTATTGTCAATTTCAAACATATTTTGGATCAATTGTGTCGTGTGCATTTACCACAGGTGAGGATCAGTAGGTAAGAGTGCGATGATGGAGTTGAAAAAGTTATGTTTATTTCATGGGCTACATGTACACAAGAAAGGCTGTTACTGCAAACAGTGTTTGAGTTTGGCAACCAAGGAGGCAATACATTGTTATTCATGCAGATTCTTTATTTTGACTAAGAAAGCTTCTCTCCTAGGCATTGCTAATGCATTATAGGAAAGAAAAATCATATTACGTCTTCGTTATTTTTCCGCTGTAGCATTCTCCACATATCAAACTTCAGCCCAAATCCGCCATTCTGTTGAAGAGTCTTAAGTACATGTATTATTTTGTGACTTGCTGTTATAGTTGTGTTCTCTCTACTGCCATTTTCTGAAGAAAGGAAAGGCACCCTCACTGCAAAAATAAAAAGTAATTTGTGCAGTGTCATGATTGTTGTTAAAATGAGCTTAAGACATTATTTCTTAATTTGACATAAATAGCTCACTATGTTTTAAAATAAATCAAGTTTTTTTTTATGATGTTTACCACTTTAATGTTTCTGTTGTACACTCTCTTCTTTCTATTTAATGTTTATGTAATGTCTTTCATCAAACAGTTGCTGTGGTAAATTATATTTTTGTGTAATTAGATAGCTGTGGAAGAAATCGGCTATGACAATATGTCTTAGAAAATTTGAGATGAACAAATTCTAAGATGTCATTAAATATGTAGAATTGTTTGTTTTATGGTGTCAATGTGATTTGAGTATGTGTCAGATATTGTTCCTTAATTTTTGCTTTATGCATCTGTTGCTTTCCCATGCAGGACGGCAATGAACACCATCCAGCAGTTACAGATGATTTTAAATACAGCTGATGACACACCTTCAAATACACTTAAAGCATACTTTAACGTAAGTGGATTTTGTAGTGAGGTTAATAGACCTTGGGGAAAGTTAGATTGTTTTAATGAAAAGAAAGGTTGCAACTGCTAATGATACCCGAAATTGTCAAGAGGAGTTTTGACATTGCTGTATGTTATGCTGTTATTTCTGTAGGCTGCATATATCTATGGAAATTCATAAACTGAAAACTGTGCATTGGGTGTCAAATGTTTGAATCACTTTTGTAACCTAATTGAAAACACAGAATAAATTTACTTAGTGTGAAGGGTTGCTGGATGATATACTTTTTTGTGTTCATCTTGCGTCAAAAAAGAAAAACATAAATTGGCAGTTTTTGCTGTTTAGTCATTAAATACGTGCTGGACCTATAAGACATGTGCATCGTGTGTCTTTGAAAAATTATCCTCCAAGGTGAAAATTTTATAGCTAAATTTTATTACAAATTGAAATTTAAGCTGATAATCTGGGAGTATGACATATTGGCTTCTTTCAGAATCTACTTGTACAACTGAGGTGGTTACAAATATAGATAAGGTTCTTGAACAGATTTGTAGCTCGGATTGTGGGTGCAGTGGTTGGTTTGCTTGCCGAGCTGTTTCATTGGTTTGCAGATGTTACATTACCCTGCTGGGTAACCTCATCAGTGCTTTCTCCAATGAAGTGTTGTTGTGTTTTCCCGCTTGTTATTTAAATGCTGAGGTCTGTTGAAGTTGATTACCTGATTTTCCGGTTTTTCTTTGCAGTGTTGTGTATATAGGGTCTAATTCTAAGTGTTTATTGATGGCCTCCTTGGTGGAGAACCAGGCCTCTAGAAATCCCTGTGCTTGTCTCTGTTTGGCCTGTCCTAGGATCCTGACGTTGTCCCAGTCGAACTGGTGGTTCTCCTTATCCATGTGAATGGAGATGAGTGAGTACTGGTCATGTCTTTTTGTTGCTAGTTGGTGTTCGTGTATTCTTGTAGCCAGTTTACTTCCTGCCTGTGCGAGGTAATGATTGTCACAGTCCTTGCGTGGAATCTTGCATGTTACGTTGGTTCTGTCCATTGTGGGTAAGGGGTCTTTGGTTCTTGTTAGCAATTGGCATAGGGTTGATGTAGGTTTGTGTGCTATTCTGATGCCCAGTGGCCGTAGGAGTCTTGTAATCAGTTCAAATGCGTTCTTAATGTACGGTAACGTGACAAGTGTGTCGGGGTATACTGTATCTTCCTGTTGTTGTTTGTGTGACAGGCAATGTTGGACCCAGCTGTTCAGGTATCTGTGGTCTCTGCTTACTTGGTGGAGGTATTCTTCTTTATTTTGGCATAGTTCTGAGTTGCTGCAGTGTGTTGCAGCTCGTTTGAACAGTGTATTTACGCAACTCTGTAGATGTTGGGGTGGTTACTGTTGAAATTTAGGACTTGATCTGTGTGAGTGGCCTTTCTGTATACTTTGGTCAGAAATTCCCCGTTGGCTGTGCGATCTACCATCATGTTCAGGAATGTGAACTTTTCTACTCTGAATCATTTGATGTCGGTGAAAATATTGTTTGTAAGTTGGTGTATTTCTTCTAGTTTAGTCCATTTGACGATGATGAAAGTGTCATCCATGTATCAGATTCATAGTTTGGGTTGGATCTGCGGAGGGGCCGTGATTTCGAGCCTCTGCATCACTGCTAGTGCTGTTAGTCCAGAGGTGGATGACCCCATAGATATCCCATTGATTTGTTGATAGATCTGGCCATTTAAAGGTAAAGTGGGTCGTGAGGCGTAGGTCCAGTAATTTCAGCATGTTGTCTGTGGAGATGGTGTTGCTCGGGTCCGGTTCTTTTAGTAGTGTTGCTAGTGTTTCTCTTGCTAGTGGTATGTCGATCAATGTGGATAGGGCGGTAATATCAAAGGACATGGTCTTTTCTTATGTCTTTGAGGAACTCCTGGGCTGAGTGGGTTGAGGTGCTTTAGTCTTTGTTGTAATTCCTTGGCTAACCTGTGTGTTGGTGTGCCTGGGAGAAAGAGATTATGGATGTGAGGGGTACCTCCGGTTTGTGTAACTTTTGGGAGGCCATAGAATCAGGGGGTGTTTGTCCCTTCAGGTGTCGTTTTTAGGTAGTGTGCTTTGTTGATTTTTTTTTTCTGGGTCTGATGGAGTCTCTTTAGTGTGTAGAAGATTTTATTTCCCAGTTGCTGTGTCGGGTCTGTTTTCACTTGTCGGTATGTATTTGTGTCTGCCGGTATGGTCTGTGCTTTGGTGAGGTTGTCTCGTTGTTAAGTATTACCGTCATGTGCCCTTCGTCCTCTGGTAGGATTATGATGTCTATTTTGTCTTTTTTCAGTCCTTCTCGGGCCTTCCTTTCTGATGAGTTAAGTTCGTTCCTTTTGGTTAGTATCAGGATCACTGTCTGTCTTGTGGCTTGTTGTGTTTCCTCATTGATACCATTGATCTTCAGTCTGGATTCTAGTGTGGCTAGGAATTCTGTCTTGTTAGCATATCTGTGGTTGTAATTGAGTCCACATATTAGTACAGCCTTTTCTGTGTCTCTTAGTTTTCTGTCAGATAGATTTCTTATCCAAGTGTCTGATCTTTCTGTTGTTTTGGTGGGTTAGTTTGGCTAGTTTTTCTTCTTCTTTTCTTGGTTTTGGTTTTTTGTTGACTGATGTTAATGGCTCGTTCTAAGTCTGTTGTCCACTGTAGGTTGGTTGCGTCTGGGTATAGGGATTTTTGGTGCATATCTGTGGAGCCACTTGTGGGCATCATAAATCATTACCTGCACTATTCTGCAGCTATTGTGCTGTGCTGACCTACGTGATGTGATGGTAGAACGCAGGGCCAACGGGAAATTTCTGACCAAAGTATACAGAAAGGCCACATACACTGATCAAGTCCTAAATTTCAACAGTAGCCACCCCAACACCTGCAAACAGAGTTGTGTGAAAACACTGTTCAAACGAGCCAGAACACACTGCAGCAACCCAGAACTACACCAAAATGAAGAAGAATACCTCCACCAAGTATTTAGAGACAATGGATACCTGAACAGCTGGGTCCAACGTTGCCTGTCACACAAACAACAACAGGAAGACACTGTACGCCCTGACACACTTGTCGCGTTACCGTACATCAAGAACGTATCTGAACTGACTACAAGAATCCTCCGGCCACTGGGCATCAAAGTAGCACATAAACCTACATGAACTCTTCGCCAATTGCTAACAAGAACCAAAGACCCCTTACCCACAATGGACAGAACCAACGTAATATGCGAGGACTGCGACACACATTACATCAGACAGACAGTGAGGAAACTGGCAATGAGAATACATGAACACCAACTAACAACAAAAAGACACAACCAATACTCATTTGTCACCATACACACGGACAAGGAGAACCACCAGTTCGCTTGGGACAACGTCAGGATCCTAGAACAAGCCAAACAGAGACAAGCACAGGAATTTCTAGAGGCCTGGTTCTCCTCCAAGAAGGCTGTCAATAAACACATAGAATTAGACCCTATATACACATCACTGCAAAGAAAAACCGGAAATCAGGCAATCGATTCCAACGAACCCCAGCGTTTAAATAACAAGCGGGAAAACACAACACTTCATCGGAGGCTGCACTGATGATGTTACCCAGCAAGGTAATGAAACGTCTGCAAACTAATGAACCAACTCGGCGAGTGAATCAACCACAGCACAAATATAGTTATCGTACAGCATCTAAATACAATTTCTTAATATTTTTAAAGTATTATTATTTCATGTTGCTCTCAATTATAGCTTTATAACTACATTACATTATAGCTTTCAAGAAATGCATCATGGGTATCTTTCATTTGTCTTGGTAGTTATTAGTCCAGATTATATTATAATGATGGCAAATTGTTGGTGTTTGCCATTACTGCTATGAAGCTGACAGTAATCTCTGCCTGTACATGTGCAGCTAAATGCAGAAATATGGAGGTTGCCAAGAATAATTCCCCACCGAAATGGAAATTAATTAGAACTCACCCAAGTAGTGTGTACTTCCATTTTTGTTAATGCTGTTATTGTTGTTTAAAACCTGAGGGTGGGGGCAGAGTATTTGCCTTTTTTGTCTTGCTGGACAAGTTTGCTGGCCATGAAACAAATGATTTCTGAAGAAGGGTCCCGACACGAAACATCAGCTTTCCTGCTCCTCTGATGCTGCCTGCCCTGCTGTGTTCCTCCAGCTCCACACTGTGTTATCTCTGACTCCAGCATCGGCAGTTCTTACTATCTCTGTTGATATCACAGGTTCAGTGTAGCTGACACTAAAAGCAAATTAATGTGGGAAAGATAAAATCCACACCATGTAACTAGCTAGATCTTCAAGGAGGCTTTCATCAAAGTCAATAGCAAATGTGATAGCTTTGCTGTTGACTTCAGAATTTGGATCATTATTTTATGTAAATCCTCTCATTTAATCATAGGGGATTATGCATTTAAGATATTCTAGCTCGGAGAATTTTTGTATTCTTTATTGGAATTTGCACCTTAAATAATGCTTATTTTTCTGCACTTTGTTCTCCCAATTACTTCAATCATTATCTGTGATAGATCAGAGGGATCTAACAGAAACTCATTGCTTTAGTTCAGTGACAGTTTGAAAGGCCCTTTATATGTGCTGTTGCTTTCCATTGCACGAATAATGATTTGAACATCTTTATACTTTCCTAGAATTGTACAGTGAACCCTACTAATGGCATTATTAATAGAGTGGAGAATCTAGGCCATAAGTTTCGGGAAAGTTTTGCTCAGGCTGTTGGAGAAGGATGGGCAGAGATTGGCTCTCAGGTATTGATTGTTTTTGCTTGTCTACAAAATGCTATACATATTTATCTGATATACTTTTAATTTCTCGTTCTGATCATTTCCTTTTCTTTTACTTTCAGCGATATAAGCTTGGTGTACGTTTATATTATAGGGTTATGGAATCTATGTTGAAGTCGGTAAGTTTCAATTGCTATTAAAAACAAGGAAATGAAAGATGAGGAAAGAAGAGTGGTTCTAGTGACCGGAATCTTGACTGGAGCGAAGCTGGGAATCTTTTTAAAGAAAATGGGCAGCAGACAAATGGAAATGTTTCCATTTGCCAATTTCCCTCAAAGTTACACACATCATTTCTTTGCTGTGATTGGTCCGAAGTCATGAATTTATTTTTGACAGTATTGCAACTGTTGATATATTATATGGACTGCAGTGATTCAAGAAGGCAACTCACTGCCATTGTTATGGATGCCAACAAATGTTGATTTTTGCCAATGATACATGAACAAATAATGTAACAATAAGTTGTGGCATCTGGTTCAGCTATGATCTGGTAGCTTTTTCAATTCTAAATTAATCTGGCTGAGCTTTAAAGTGAAATGATTTGATAAGCATAGAGTACTATGGTGGTTTTATTTCAAGATTGTCTTATTTCAAGTACTAACATAACCAATAGTGTAGTTATAGGAAACGCTCTTTTTTAACAATTGTCCTCAGAACATTTCATTTTTCTTACCCCTCAACTTTGCATCTGTACTCACCAAGATGTCCTTGCCAGAATATGGCTTCATTGACCCTATTTACCTTCCACTAGATCATTCAAATGGCCGTTATTACTCTGAGTTTAACCTTACATACTATGCTATTTAATGTCAGGAGGGAACATCTGCATGCACAATTCCACAGCCATTGCTGGATAAGCAGGAAAGCAATGCAAAATACCTTTTCATTAGAAAATCAGATCAATAATAGAAAAAGATCTTTAGAAACATTGAACTTAGGAGCAGTAGGCCTTTTGGCCCTTCAAGCCTGCTCCATCATTTAACATAATCATGGCTGATCATTCAACTCGGTATCCTGTACCTGCTTGTCCCCCACACACTTTGATCCATTTAGCCCTATGAACCATATCTAACTTCACCTTCTTGAAAATATTGAATTTTTTTCACTGCAGCCTCAATTCTCTTCTGTGGCAGAGAATTCCACAGGCTCACCACTGTCTCTTGGTGAGAAACTTTCTCCCCGTTTCAGTCCTAAATGGCCTGCCCTGTAGCCTTAAACTGCGACCTCTGATTCTGATGTCTTCAGACATCAAAGATGCCCTTCTTACATTTATCCTGTCTAGGCATGTTAGAATTTTATACGTTTCTTTTAGATCTCCTCATTCTGCTAAGCTCCAGTGAATAGAGTCCTAACCGTTCAAATTTGTCTTCATACATCAGTTCTGCCGTCCCAGTAATCAGTCTGGTAAATGCTGTTTTTTAACAATTGTCCTCAGAACATTTCATTTTTCTTTTACCCCTCAGCTTTGCATCTATACTCACCAAGATGTCCTTGCCAGAATATGGCTTCATTGACCCTGTTTACCTTCCACTAGATCATTCAAATGGCCATTATTACTCTGAGTTTAACCTTACATACTATGCTATTTAATGTCAGTAGGGAACATCTGCATGCACAATTCCACAGCCATTGCTGGATAAGCAGGAAAGCCAGAACATCTTTCCTCAGGTAAAGAGACTGAAACTACAGACTCTACTGCGGGTGTGGTCCAAGCAAGGCGTTGTACAATTGTGGATGTATAAGACATCCCTGGTGCTATAGTCAAATCCTCTTGCTATGAAGGCCAACATAAAATTTGCTGCCTTCACCGCCTGCTGCACTTACATGCTTATTTTCAGTGACTCGTGTACAAGGACACACAGGTTTCATTGCACTGTCCCTTTCCTGTTTTACCACCATTCAGATAATCTGCCTTCCTGGATTTGCCTCTAAAGTGGATAACATCATATTTATCCGCATTTGCCCACTCATTCAATCTTTCCCAATCGCAGTGAAGTATCTCTGCATCCTCCCCGCAGCTCACATTCCCACCCAGCTTTGTGTCATCTGCAAACTTGAAGATTTTATACCTATTTCCCTAATTGAAATAATTTGTATATATTGTGAATAGCTAGGGGGTGCAAGCACTGATCCCTACAATACTCCATTAGTCACTGCTTACCACTTAGTCTACCAGCCAGTTTTCTATTCATGTTGGTATACTACCCCCAGTCCTGTGCAATTTAATTTTTTAAGCTAATCTGTTATGTGGGACCTTAAAGAAAACCATCTTAAAACCCAGGTTAACCAGACCCACTGGCTCCCCTTATCAACTCTTCTGGTTACATCCTTGAAAAAAAATCCAATGAATTTGTCAAGAAATATGGTTTCTCTTGTGTAAATCCATGCTGCCTCTGTCTGATCCTGTCACTGTTTTTCAATTGCTCTGTTATTAGATCTTTTTTCATTGTCTCTAACATTTTCTCCACTACCAATGTCAAGCCAACCGATCTATAATTCCGTTTTCACTGTATGCCTATTTTAAATAGTGGAGTTACCTTAGCCACCCTCCAATCCATAGGAACTGTTCCAGAATCTATAGAATCTTGAAAGGTGATCACCAATGAGTCCACTGTTTATAGGTCTACTTCCTTGAGTACACTGAAATGTAGATTATATACTCTGGTGATTTATTGACCTTTATTTCCATCACTTTAATATTTGCCTGCAAATACTGATTTCCTTCAGTTCCTCCCCCTCAAAACCATGTTTCCCCAACATTTTTGGGACCTTATTTAGGTCCTCCTTTGCAAATACAGAACCAAAGTATGTAATTAATTAGTCTGTCATCTCTTTATTCTCCATTATTTATCATTTCCCTGTTTCTGACTGAAAGTTTGTCTTCACTATTCTCTTTTTGTTCACATACTTAGTCAGTTTGTTTGTTTGTTCCCTGCAAGCTTAATCTTGTACTCTTTCCCCCTGTCCTTATTTAATCCCTTTGTTCTCCTTTGCTGAATTCTAAACTGCTCCCGGTCCTCCGATCTGCTGGGGTTTTTTTTGTGCAATCTTTGATTTAATAATATCCATAATTTCCCTGGTTAGATGTGATTGGGCCACCTTTCCCATTTTCATTTCAGACTCGACAGGAATGAAAAATTGTTGCAGTTCATCCATGCACTCTTTACATGTTTGCCATAGGCTAACCACTTAAACTGGGGAAACATTACTTAAGGGTTACTTATCGTGGCCAGCTTGTGCCTCATTCCATCAAAATTTCCTTTATTTAGATTCAGGATACTAATCCCTGAATCACCTGTCCCACTCACCATCTTAATGAAGAATTCTGTATTATGGTCACTCTTGCTCAAGGGGCCTTGCGCAGCTCAATTGACAGATAGCAGCATTGTGTTAGATGTTAGATTACGTTAAACTTAGTTATGTATCTATGCAGCATCATACCTTAGTATTGTGCATTTTGTGCCAGAAATGTACTGTAATTTGCAATAAAGATGTTGTTTTCATCTTGAGGGAAACACTTATTTAGAACAAAGACCCTAAGAATGGTTAATTCTGAAATAAACTTTCTAACATCCCTTCAACAGACAAACAAGGTATCTGTTGCACATCTCACCTGAAACATGCTACTGTGATATCATTCTGCTAAGTCATTCAGAGTGACAGCCTAGATGCAGAACCAAGTATAATGTAGTGAACAAACAGGCAGGTTGAAGGCCTTGAGAGGATGATGTTGTCAACTAAAGCAGGTTGATTTGTTTTGTTCTGTTCTGTCAAGGCTTTCAAACTTCAGATCTGGTTCTACACTGTTCAATTCAACTGCTTTGCCATGGGATTAATTGCTTTAATAATGCTTTTGGAAAGCTGTGTTCAGTGCCTTAGTTTGTTTAATCTCTGGGCTATATTTTGCAGGAAGAAGAACGTCTCTCTGTCCAAAATTTTAGGTAAATCTATTTAGATTTTCTTCAGAAAACATGAAAACCAATTCATTGTTTAAATAAAGATCTATTTTCAGATAATCTCTTCCACTCTCTTTGTAGCAAGTTGTTGAACGATGCTACTTTTCATGGATCTCTACTTGCCTGTGCTGTGGAGGTTGTCATGACCACATATGGAACTACTTGTAAGTATATAATGGATCTTTTAAGTTTTAAATATTTTGTCACAAGCTCTTCAGTTTGCAGTAGTACAGTTTCATTAACATTTAACCAATTAAGAGGATGATACAGGCCCAAACCTGTATGTTACCAAGGTTTTGCTGCATCTGTACAGTCACGCAGGAGTCACATCTGAGGAGTCACAAGTGGTGCTCAACATTGTGAAATCAATGAATGTCCCCACTTCTGACCTCATAATGGAAAGGTGGTCAATAAAGAAACAGCTGCAGGTGGTTGGGCCTAGAACACTTCCGTGAGGAACTTGTGCAATAATGTCTTGGGGTGAGATGACTGACTTCAAACAACCACAGCTTATCTTTTTTTGCTGTATAGGATTCCACCCAGTGCAGAATTTTCCCTCCGGTTTTCATTGAGTCTAGTTTGGCTTGTGCTCTATGGTAACATGCTTGTCCAATCTGCCGAATGTTGAGGGCAGTTATCTTGACCTTCCCTTCTAGTCAAAGATGCTTCCAAATGCTTGACTTGTATTTTGCACTGGGATGCTGGCCGCCTCCTTCAGTGCACTGTGTAATATATTCATCATTTGAGACAGAATGTGGTGGGACTGCAGAGCTCAGATCTGATCTGCTGCCTGTAGGATCACTTAATTCTGTGCATTGCATTCCACAAATGCTGTTCAGCATGCAAGCTGTCCTGTGTTGTAGCTTCACCAGGTTGCTACCACATTTTCAGGTGTCTGTTGCTGCTCCTGGTTTGCCAGACCCTTAATTGAACCAGGGTTGATCTCCTGGCTTTATGGCAATGATAGAGTAGTGATGTGGGTAGTGGGGGTTAGGGGCTTGAATACAACTCTGCTGATGGTACCCATGAGATGCTGTAGAACCAGTATTGAATTGTTTAATCTGTGTAAGGTTTGCTCTGTTCAGCACATTGATAGTACCACACAACACAATGACGGCATCCTCTTCTCCACGAGGATTAAGTGGTAGCCACACTTCTATCCAGGCAGCCATAGGCTGCAGCGTCTCCAACAGTGGATTGGTGAGTGTGAAGTCAAGTAACTTTTTCACATTTTTGTTTCTCTTACCACTTGCTGCAGGCCCTAGCAGCTCTGTTCTTTACGACCAGCCACTGTGGTCACAAATAGTGTTACCAAGCCACTCTTGGTCACGAACAGTGAAGTCACCCAGTCAGAGCAAATCTGGCACCCTTGTCATGCTCAGAGCATCCTTCAAGTCATGGTCGATGTGGGGGTTTGTAATCACTGAGATTCTCTTTCCCTGACCTGATACTTTGAGGCTGCGGGTGCATCCAGAGTCAATGCTGAAAACTCCCTGCGTAACACCCTCCTAAATGTTAAATTTTGTTGTCACCTGTACTCTGTAGGGTAGGATAGACCTAAGGATGCTTAGGAAGCACAGAGGGTTGCAAGGTTACACTCTGGATGCAGGATTTCAATGTCCAGCACCAAGAATGCCTTGGCAGCACTGTTACTGATCAATTTAGACCAGTCATAAAAGAATAGCTGAGATAGTAGGAACTGCAGATGCTGGAGAATCCGAGACAACAAGGTGCAGGGCTGGATGAACACAGCAGGCCAAGCAGCATCATAGGAGCAGAGAGGCTGACGTTTCGGGCCTAGACCCTTCATCAGAAAAGGGGGAGGGGAACGGGGTTTTGAAATAAATAGGGAGAGAGTGGGAGGCGGATAGAAGAGGGATAGAGGAGAGGATAGGTGGAGAGGAAACAAACAGGTCGAAGAGGCGGGGATGGGGCCAGGAAAGGTGAGTGTAGGTAGGGAGTTAGGAAGGGGATAGGTCAGTCCAGGGAGGACGGACAGGTCAAGGGGG